ATACTGGCCTAGGCCTAATATAAATTAAACTTGTAAATAAAATTAACTAAACATGAAAATAGTATTCCTTGTACAATAGATTAACATTTAAATCTTATAAGCAATTTTAAACAGCTTGAGTTAGTTTCGACACTAGCAACCCTATTAAAAAAGTATACTTTCTCCAACAAACGCTTAGAACTTCTTCAAATACGAATAAAACCACCAAAATTACATAAAAATAAAATGCCATTGTTTTTAAAAGGAAGGAAGATTTAACAATCTAAATAATATTACAGGATTTAATCAGATTTGATGGAAAGATACCAGATACCAGAAGTAGAGGTATGCTACATTACCCCACCAGAAGAATGAACATTAATTATCAGCTCTTTATACTTCAAAAGTAGTTTTACACTTTAAGATTTTTCTGATATAATGAAGGAATGAATTACAGGTTAGTATAGGAGTGTCCGGTTTAATTTAAAATGGTTACATAAAATAAATCTGAATTAGAAAATTAAATGCAGCAGAAGTATAAATATTCAGATATCTGTTGACAATATTCACTTCCTGGTCATATTTATTAATAGGTTTTATTGAATGTACATTGTACAGTAAATACAGGATACAGTATGGTGAACATATGAAATCCTACCACAGAATTTAAACAATTGATAATAGAAACTGCTTCAACAAAGTTTGGTTTTATGCTGCCATGGATACAAATAAATACTGCCTACAGAGCATCGATGACCCATAAAATAAATATTGTACAATACTGTAGTCACCTCCCAACATATTGTTTATAAAATGTATCAAAATATCGCTTTTAGAATTTGGCCTTCAGTTATATTTATACAGTAATATTTCATCTTAATACTGTAGAATATTTTTACAATTATAATACTGTATCAGCTGCTGTGCTCGGTAGTAACAATAAATATTGATCTTTGCTTCAACACAACGTACATATCACCACAGAGTATGACTAGTCAATCTGTGTAAGCATCAAACTTTACCTGCATTTCATATACAGGCAAAGGCGGCATCCTGCTTCACTAGTTTTGATTTTCAAGCATTACTTACAGCCCGATTCTTTAGAATTGTTTTGTCTTCTCAACTGCAGTATTGCTGGTCTTTTGAGTGTATACTACTTCAGTCATGAATGTGCAGCCTACTGTAATAATAGTTAAATCACTGTTGGAAGACACTAAATTGATGTGTCTGTCATTTTGATTACGGTATTGATCCTCTGTTAAATGTTGTTTGATTGTGTTTAAAATGCACCCACTAAATGTGCTGTATGTAAATTTCTCAAAATTCTGAGGCTAGTACAGCCTAGTTTTATAGGTTTTACCATTAGTATAGCTCATCATATAAATAATTGTTGTCTTCTAGTTATAGTCGTAGCAAATAAGAATGAAAGTAGCTAGTAACTAGTAATAATAATATAATATTCCTTGGTACCAGTTAAAGTACAGTTCAGATTATACAAAATACAATAACTACAGGACTTAATATTACTAGTAAGAGTCACTTTTGTTTTAGCATTTTAATTACTGTACTTACACTGTATACTGATAGTAAAACAGTATAATAAAATAGTATTTTATTATACAATTTTATTATACTATAATAAAATAGTATTTAAACAGTGTTATACTGTAATCTAGTGTTATTATTGTACAGTACATAAAAACAAAGCAAATTTAAATATATAAAGATACTGTACTATACTAGAATGATACTTTAAATTATTGTAATTTGTAGGCCTACTGTACTGTAAAACAGCTATTTTGTGAATAGGCATACTGTATTAAATTATATTAGTCACAAAGTACAGTACATTCTAATTGAATACCTGTAGGCCTACAGATTATTTTTTTACTACCAACAGTTTAATACTGATACAGTTTATTGACTATAATGTAGTTCAATTATACTGTATGCATAGCATATCCAGTGTTCAGGAAATGCACTTTATGGGAATAATTCTATTCTTACTATTCAAAATCTAACAACACAAACCATAATTCTTTTGTTCATAATGTGATATTTTATCAGATTTGGTTTTAATATCATCTTAATATACCTTCAAGGGCAGTTAAAAGTTACACTTTTAACATTTAATAAAATAGTCATTACCAATTACTTAAAATAAACAGCAAATACAGAAATAAACTAGACCCCAACGGTGACCGTGGTTCTTATCATTATCATTAATATTTGTATTGTTTTAATACAATTCAACAAATTTTCCTCATGCGGAGGGGCGGAGGGGGGGGGTTTGGGTTATGGTTAGGATGCCCATGACGAGGTCATGAGCATCAAAAAGAAAAAAAAAAATTGTTTGCTACCCCCACAAGGTTACACATCCTAGAGCAGTGATAGCTCACCAAGTTACAAAACGCAAGGTTGTAAACTTGCTGCACGGTGTTCATGGTATTCTCATTTGATTTTAGTGAAAGTGAAAGACGATCCCCAACTCACAAGTTCTGCAGTGTGCATCGCCAACATCTTCTAGAAATAACAGCAAGTCGAGCGTGTTCGTTGTCACCAAAGTTTGCTATCCTTTTGACTGTGGTGGGTTTTATTTTAGGGTTAAATATGCCCAGAGTATTTTAGTTTTAATTCGTTTTCACAAAAGTAACATATGTATTAAAACATATTTCAACATCCATGGTTAGTGCTTATTTTTTATCACTGCGGCTAGCCTACAGTAGGTCTACCTAGAACTTCACAGCACTCTGGGGATCCGATGGTCCACGTACGCCTAAGTGGGTGTAGGCTAGTACTTAGTACTAGCCTAGGTTTAGGCCTAGTACTTGACAACTTTTTGAAAATGCCGGCGTAGGACCGGCGTCAATTTTTTAACGTCGGCGATTTTTTATTTTGAGGGCTGTCTAGGTGAAAAAATGGGGATTTCCCTAGGTAAAACGTTGTTTTGATGACAGTTTTCCTAGAGAATACAAGTATTTCCAGTTGTTTGTTGTTTAAAAATTGGTTGATAAAGTTGAAATTTCTTTAGTTTAATGTTTGCAAATACAATGTCAACGCGATATTCCGCGTCCTGCAGGTGTTACTTCGAGAGGGGACATTCCAAATAAGGCTCTGGAGTAAGAGTTTATTTCAGTGGAGGCAGGGGAGGATTTGGGGGGACCCTCGATTATGGATCGCCTAAAATGTCTCAGAAGTTATTTCCAGGCGTCTAGAAAACAAAATTTCCCAAGGGCATGCCGGATCCCCTAGGGTAGTGTTGTCTCTCGATCGCGCGCCACTCCCCCCACCCCCCAACTTCAGACACCTGGATCCACCCCTGGGAGAGGGGGGGCATCTATTCAAAGCTGTGAAATTTTCAAGGAGAGCAATTGCTCTCCTTAGTAATCCAAGGAGAGAAATTTAGTGCTCTCCTGCGTTTTACATACATGATGGACTGATTAATTTAAAAAAACATGAAGGAAAGTTTCAATTCAACTGCAAATCGAATCACTGTTTTTTGAAATGTAAAGGCATATTACAATTTCAACTAAGTAGGAAATCTTTTATGGGAATTATCATGATATTTATTAAATATTTCCTGATTAGTGACATATAAATTATGCAAATGAGCAATTCTAAGCATAATTACACACCTACCAAAAACAATAGGCTTCTTCTTATTACTGGCATCTTGCATTCTGCCAAGTTTGAAATCATTCCGACTTACAAAATTTTAGTTATCATGGTAACAATCAATACCCAACAACGACAACGAAGACAAGGAAGACAACGACAACACCGACAGCATGAGAAGAACATGGCTAAAAACAATACCCTCCCCGAACCTTCGCTCCTTCGGAGAGGCTAAAAAAAAAAAAACCATGTTTAATATCATCCTCACAATTTGTAAAAGCTGCGATGGTGTATTAGTGTGCAAGGGCATTGACTGGTTTTGGGTTGGGGGTGCGAAACAACATGGGGGGTGCGTACTGGTGTGCAGGGACATAGGCTGGGGTTGGGGTGAAAAACAGCATGTGCGGGGAGGGGATGTTTGAAAATTGAGAATGCTGAACTAAATCCCTATTCTAAAATGTAAACTTCAATGGTCATTAATAATGGTCACTTTTAGTATTTTAACCCACTAATAGTGAAGGACTAATTTGCCATCATATGGGGGAGAAGATGGGCTCTACAGTAGCCTAAGTTTATGGTGTACTTAACAATTTCCTTTGCATCATATTTATGATGTACTACTGTGTTATAAGACTCTTTTGGAAAGGAGTAATTAAACTATCAAAATTTTAAAAATTTCTGAAATTACAAATGGTACGAGTCACCTTTTCATTTCAGAAATTATGGATGGGTCAAAATACTATTGTACGACACTTGAATGCACACATTTTTATTTGCTTTATTAAAATGTTTTGCAATTTTTTTTATAGCAAGACAAAAATCAGGCTTGTGTGGGAATATCCCCCACCATCAAAAAAAAAAATAAATAAATAAAAATGGACTACAATTTTGTTCACGCATTTCAGGGAAAAAGGGCTGATTTCTGTGCAAGCTTTACACAACCAACGTTATTAAGATAGCATCGTTTTCTGCGTCCCTATTTATTTTCCCTAATTTCATTTGTAAATACATTACAATTTGGATTTAGGCCTAGGCCTCCGAGTCCAACCTGAGTAAGGCCTAGGCTAATCCTGCTAGGTCAGGGCAAAAAAATACAAACTTGAAAATTGGGACCCAAATTAATAAAAGGTGACTTTGTTTGGCTGTAGTCTTGTCAACTATCTATTAAGTAAACATAGATGAGTCAAAGTTGGTCATGGTAGGTTATCCTTTTTACTGTTGTCCTCATTGTTAAACTAGGGCCTAGCCAAGGCCCTAGCTTGTCCTAAGCCCCTATCCTAGGCTGGTCCTCTCTACCGCAAAACAAAACGTCAAATTTAAAATATTAATTATTTAACCTTAAAACTTAGCCGAGGCTGTACTGTATATCTTGTGATTATTATATGCTGCTGTTGAGTTTTATTTACCTGATTTCTCTCTTTGTTTCAATGGTTGTTGGTAATCCTTTGACAATCTTAGCTCTAAGCGACCGTGCTTCAATTGATGTGTCAGCCTGCAATTTTTGAAGTTCCAACTCGGCCGCTGCATCGAGGTGCCCGCCTGCAAGCGTATTTCCATACAGACTCTTGCTGCTGCTACTGTTGGGCCTGGCAGATCGATTCATTTTCAGAGACACAGTCGATGGCCTTGTTTGAGAATTATCACGTTGTAGTTCACTATTCGAAACATATAATTGAGCTTCAGTTGGTGTTTTACTTCTGGTGTGCAGAGGCACTAGAATAAAACAATAATAAATTAAATAGTAAACTTCAAAACACTTATTCCGCAGCGTCACTTTCTACTAAGTGTGAAGTTTCTTATCTTGAAGTTGTATATTATTAATCATGATCAATCAGCAGCCGGTGTGTGGTTGGTTGGTTGTTGCGTAAAAACCAGGCAAAACAAGTGGTGGCGCCATATATGTTCATACCTGTCATCCTTTATGGTTCTGTTTTCATTAACGAATTGTATGAATTGTCAATTGAAAAAATAGCAAAAATTATTAATTTTTTTAATCAATGTGTTTACTTTCGTTTTTTATGAGAATTTAGCAGCAATATCAAAGGGATGGGCTTAGCGGACATATCCATTACCGAATTGTATGAATTGTCAATTGAAAAATAACAAAAAATATAAATAATTACTATTAATCCATTTGCTCTTATTGCATTAAAATTGCAATAAAAATTATTCATAAACCGGAAGGTCCACTGATTAATTTAAACAATAAATGATCTCAGATAAGAAAGTATACACGGCATCTAGTTGGGATTCAATGTTTCGAACTTAATTCAGAATGAATGTGGCATAATTAATGTCGAAATATTGAAACCCAACACCATGGCGCGCGTGCATTTCAATACTTCACTTGGAGTATACTATAATTATACATCATTTAAGTTAATTTACCTCCAAAAATAAATAAATTTAAAAAAAAGTGCTGGAAACTATTTCAGTCACTGGATGAAAGTGTTTCTATTATTTCATAATTATTCAAATTCATGGCTAAACATTTTTTTTTGTTTTCCTCTTTGATTAGGCCTATGCATCAATAGATTATCATCGTCATCATCACCACCACCATCATTATCATCATCCGTATTAATCTTATCAATTGTTAGAATAAATATATTTATAATAATTTTAACAATAACAGTGGTGATGATGATTGATAATTTATTATAATACATTATAAATGCATATACCCACACATGCAATTACACATTATTCAGCGTGCATCTGAGAACTACCATATCGCTCTTCGACGCCCATGACCAGCAGAGTGTGAAAATTCAGTTGCTTCTAATGTAATCGGCTTTGCATTTGCAAAGAAGGCATGTGACTCAGTTTAGCGCCTGTATAATACAACAAAGGGCTTGAGTTATCACTGTTTACAGTGTAATTTCATTCTTTTGAGACTGAATAGGGATATCATTCACTCTTTTTTCTTCACTTTTCTGGGAGTGAAATACATTCACTCTTTTCAAAGGATGACGTTCACTCTTTGAAGAGTGGTCCCTGTCACTCATCAAAAAGTTCCTTAACCTAAGAGAGCATGATTATATATATATATATAATACAAAGATAACTGTATCTTTAAATAACAATATATATATATATGCCTATATATATATATATATACGTTCTTCGTTCTCCTTCAGAAAAGCAGAGCTTCCGGTGTCAATAGGCATATACTCTCCATTGTCAATTTTACTCATGTTGAATCAGTTTACACACTCAATAAAAATGGGCGTTACACAAGACAAAATCCGAATACGACGGTACAGGATAGTAGGCCTACCTGCTTTTGGCCTCGGCAAACTTTAGTAAGTTTTCTATTAATTTTGTATGCCAAATATAACATAAAGAGCCACACGTATGGGATTAAATCAAGCACGACTCAATCTTCGACAATCGTGTACTCGGAACTTCCAATGTTTCTTACTAATCTGGGCTAAAACGAACAATACCGTTTGTCATCACTACGCTATAGTGTTATGTAGGTCCTTTTGTTCATCAAAATACTGATATCGATCGGAAATATCGGGGTCACTTTTAACAGTTGACCAGCAGGTTGGTTTAGTTTGAGCAGCTTAAGATGCCTGCCTTCTAACCCCACGGTCTTGGTTTTTTTCTCACGACTGAAAACAACTCCACTCCCTAAAGCCTCGTAAAGAGACTTCGCTGATGAAAGTCATTTATTTAAAGAGGGCCCCTCGATATCATTCGACCCTCTAGGCTGGAAGGGTCACCCTCTATAATATGGTTCAATGGTGAATGCGCACGCCGATGTCGCTATCGTAGGAAACCATTGTACGACACTTTTGAGCCACATTTAATTATCGGGGAAAAAAAAATGTGCTTGTTGGAAACTCCACACCGTCCGTTTCCGCAAGATGGATTGAATATGAAATAAAATAAAATAAAATGTAACAGTTAAACTTCAAGGTCGTTTAACTGTATTTACCCAGTTAATTACAGGTAGTTATATTTTAACTAACGTGGTTGATATCTGAAGCATTCAGGCAGGTCACCCCTTCAAAACTTCGACGGATAAGATGATGCATGCCGATGATAGTTTTAGGTAGTAACGTAATACTCTAAACATTAAGATGAAGTTCCAAGTGACAATTAGTATGTAATCAATAATTTAAAAAAAAATAAAAAATAAAAAAAAATCATTAGACCCTTTTCATCTGATTATCAAGTGGCCTTTATACATAAAATTATACAGCTTAATTAAAAATCATAATATGATTTTAAATTAAGTTGTGTAATTATTTTAAATTAATGTTTAAGTTAATAACAACAAAATCATTCCCACACCCACCCCCGCCACAGAAAAACGTTTCACACAGTATTTATATGAAGTATAATAGGCCTACATATATATTTTTTCGTACACCGTCAATAATATGACTTATTGAATATTTATTATATTACAATGTTGTGCAATTTGGTTACATATATTAATGAATAATTATTTTCTTAATTGTATGATCATGTATTTTAATGTAAATTTCATTATTATATTTTAATTTGTCATTTTGTGTGTCTAATTGTATGTAAACAGTAACCTAATCAATTCTCCCCTTTTTATTCAATTTTTATATAGCTAACTTAATTAATTCCTCATTTATTGAACTGTATATGCCTATTAATTTATTTATTTGCCTAATTTGTAATGTACATAATGTGCTGCTAGCTATTTTTGTCGGCGAATTGGCTGTTAGCGAATTGGCTGTCGGTGAAACGTCCAGAGGAAGAAGAAAAAATTTTGGTAATTATTTCAGCCGCTCCGAGTTTCTTTCATTCTTCTTTCATCCTATGCTTCTTCCATATTGACGTAAAATTTTATTCATTTTACTACTAAACATACTTATGCATAATGTATAAAATATATATAATATATATA